GTTGACTTTATGAGATTTGACCATGGAACTGGGTTCCCGAGTATCAGTGAGGATGACAGGATTCTGAAATGGCAGAGGCTGGGTGGTGGCACTAACCATCAGAGGCAAGGTCGATATGATATCCATAATAAGCAATGAGGCCCAACTCGTAGCCAGTGTTTCTGGACCTGCTGTGATGCGAATAGAGCCTGGCATTCCTAGAGACAGTATAGATGGGCAGCCAGCTAAGGTACTGCTTCACTGTATAACCTGAAAAAAAAAAAAAAAGTCAAGAGCTGGCAGGTGGAAGGCTGATGTCAGGGGCTGTAGTGGAAGAGTCTTGATCACCTAGTTTTCAGATGTGAGCCCGCACTCAGACCTGTATCCCAGGGATTGAGGGGGAGGCTGGATCTCTTGGAAGAAAAACTTTGCAACATCCCAGAAAATATAGACAGATACTCCCCCCGTTCTTCCTCAAGGGAACTGCAGGTTCTTATCAGACTTGTGGTACATCAAGGAGAAGATAATAATATCCAGACCTTTAGAGGGCTGTTAGTCCAGGGTGTGACCTGATGATAATACCGGACAACTGGTAAGCAATAGTGGATAGGAGTGGTTGGATAAATGCCTTGGCCTCTCCTCCTTCTGAGGGACATGGTGAGGTCTGCGTGGCTCTTCAGAGGGTTCCTAAAGAGTCCCCTGTTACCGACTTAACAACACACTCCTACTGGCTTTCTCTGGTTCCTTCTCTCTCTTTGCTCTGTACTCTAGCTCCTGGGTAAAACTACCTGCACCCACATTCTGTCTCTGGTTCTTTTTTGGGGGGATTATGGGGAGACCCGAACTGTGACAGGTAGGAAGCAGGATGTGAGGCCTAACATGGTAGGTGTCAGGCTTTCTTCTCCCCAGCTCTCCTGCTCCCCCCGTGGGACCGCGGAGGTCATAGTCCTCCTCTGGGAGTCCTGTGGCTCCAGGTCCCTGCCAGCCTTGGCAGGCACACTGACTTTCCCATACTCATGTGTAGATGTCTTATTGTAGTTTTGCTTTCCCTGCCCGTTAATTAGACTAAAGATCTTTTCAGATGTTTCTGTGCCATTTTGTTGCCTCTCTTGCGACATTCCTGTTTAAATCTTTTGTCTAAGTTTTCTGTTGTTTGTTTTGGACTTTTTGTTTGTTTCTTATTACTTTGTAGTTCTTTATTCTGGTTGCTGTTAATAGTCTTTATTGGTTATGTGTATTGCAAATATCTTCTAGCTTGCACTTGTCTTTTTACTTCCTTATGATGTCTTTTGATGAGCAAAATTTTTTAATTGAAATGCTGAATTTAATCTTATGATTTGCACTTTCTGCATTCCATTTTGGAAATCATTCTCTGCCTGGAAGTCATAGATATTCTCTTTAGTGGTCTAAATATCTAGCTTGTCACATGTAGCTTTTTACTCTGCCTTGAGTAGAATCCCTTCCCCCAGGCTGCTTTTAATATTTTTCTTTGGCTTTCTATTCAGTGATTTTATTTTGACAATATCTGGTTGGGGTTTTTGTTTTTGTGTGTGTGTGCATTTTGTTTGTTTGGTACATATTGTACTTGGAGTTGAGTATCGTGAATCTATGAGTTGATATCTTTCATTATGCTTGGAAAAACTTAACAGAAGGCAAATGGATTCTCATATCTACTTCCACCTTCAGTCTTTGCTTTATCACACATCATGTCATCTCTGGCAAATGAAGGTGAAAAAATAATGTCAGCATTGTTTTAAGAAATAGCTTAGATCATTTGAAAGAATCCTGGGGACCCTCTGGAGTCCCCAGACCATATTTTGAGAACCTCTGGCCTAAGATTTTTGGTATTAATATTATACTAGACTCTTAAAATAGGCTGGGGAATAGTTCTTCTTTTTTCTGAACTTTGGAGTAATTTGTGTAAAATTGGAATTATTGTTTCTTGAATGTTTGGTAGAACTTGGAAAATCTTTTGGGCCTGGAATTTTCTTTATCAGAAAAGATTGTTTTTACTTCCGATTCACTTTCTTTAGTGTTATAGAGCTGTCAAGGATGGCTATTTCTGCTTGAGACTGTTTTGATAAGGTATAGGTTAAAAGAATTTTCCCATTTCATTCAAGTTTTTAAATGTATTGGCATAAGTTCATTGGTATCATCTCATCTTTTAAATACATGCAGTATTTAGTTACAGTCCCCTTTTCAGTCTAGGTATTGTGCTTTATTTTCTCGTCATCTTGATTAATCTTACCTGAATTATGTCAAATATAAATTTCTTTAGTCTTTTTCTTTTTAAAAAATTTAGCTTTATAGATCCTGTTTGGTTTTCAATTTGTGTTTTTTTTTTATTACTTAATTACTTCTATTATCTTTGGATTTTTTTGCTGTGATAATATCTTTTTTTATGATGTTATTCATTAAAATTTGTAAAGCTCATATTTGGATACTGCTTTTGTTCCGTTAGCCCCAGTTTTGTTATATGTGAAAACAGTATGTTTTTACACTGTGGGTAATTGATAATTGGGTGGTATAATTGTTATAGTAGGTTATGGCCAGTATTTTTTTTAAAAAGCTATAGAATAATAAAAGAATATAGTGTTCATCACATATTCTGTGGTTAATGCTGTGTACTAAGGTTAAATAAGCATTGTTTTGTGAAACTTATTTCAAATACATCTGTGTCTGTGTTAGATTACTATATAAAATGTTTTATTATAGGTTTTAGTAGAAAAAAGAAGTTTAAACCACTGTATTAAAAGGCAGTTTGTCTAACATTTAGGAAAGATTTCAAACGTGGCTGCACAAAATAAGCATATGAGGGGCTTGCTAGTTTGACACATTCTGTGACCTTATTTTAGGCCTCCTGACACAGCCCTCCAGTGCTGGAGCCAAGGACTCTGTTTTAACAAACTCTGCCTGTGTAGTTCTTACAATTCGGGTGTTTGAGAACCACTGATTCAGGATATAGATAGACTCTGAGAGCCTGTTGGGCAGTTCTGACACGGGGCTTGTGGAGAGTACAGCTCCTTGCATGCATCTGTCCCAAGGCCGCTTCTTTTCTAGCTCCAGGGGGGACATGGGAAAAGAAGGAAAGCGATAGGGTGGGCCTGATGGTAGTAGGGGTCGGGGACTGACTGGAAACATCTTGTTCATTGTTAGGATGACAGAAAACATGAAATAGCTCTCGTGCCTGCATTTCTGTCATGGAATCGATTAGTGTGTGTTGAATGACTAATGTATATACCCCAAAGATGATTATCTTTAAGTGTAAAATGTATAAACTTTCATACATTAGTCCATGACAGTCATGTTTTTTTGGTATGTTCCAGACCATGGTCTCAGATACAACAGATACAAGTTGAAATCATTAATGATCATTCAGCACATTTTACCCCCAAAGCTGGTAATGATTGCAACATTCAGGGCTTGACAGGACCCTACTTAGCTAGGCAGGAAGCAGTCTTACCATGTAGGCATGATTGGAGAGAACTCCGTTTAGCCACAGTGAAAATGGCTCATAAACCCTAAGATGGTCTATGAGCTTTTCAATTATTTTCCTTTATATTAATGTGTGCTCGGTCGCTCAGTTGTGTGTGACTCTGTGACCCCATGGACTGTAGCCCACCCGGCCCCTCTGTCCATGGAATTTCCCAGGCAAGAATACTGGAGTGGGTTTCCATTTCCTACTCCAGAGGATCTTCCCAACCCAGGGATCAAACTTGTGTCTCTTGAGCCTCCTGCATTGGCAGGTGGATTCTTGACCACTAGCGCCACCTGGGGTTTTAATAACTTTTCTGAAAGATCAGAGAGTAGAATGAGACCATTTTGAAGACTGGATTCTTGACACATGGAATGCTGAAGTCACTTGTTGCAGTGATGTGTCTGTGACAGATGAAGGAATCATGCTCAAGGTATTGACATAGTGGGTGGGCATCAGGTGTTGGGGGGCTTGTTTGGCAAAGGATCTTAATTTGTGGTCTACAGGGTACTTTGCATTTTCAGCTGAGGACTGAAGTTTTTTTTTATATCTCAGTCCATGATGCTTATTGGCTGTTTCATTTTTTTATTGCTATGTAACACACCACCACAACCTTACAAACAACAAAAGCAATAGCAGTCATGTACTTGCTCAGGATTCTGCTGTTTATGCAGAACTCATTGGGGATGGTTCATGTTGGCTCCACATAGTTTCTGGGGTCTTCCTGAGCTTCCTTACAGCTAGCTTCCAACAGCTACAGGGTCTTTTAAAGCCTGGCTTTAGAAACCCCAGAATCTCCCTTCTGCCACTTTCTCTTGGCCAAACCAAGTCCATCCCGGATTCAGGTGGAAGGGAAAGAGATTCCACGTTGTGAATGGAAAAGTGGGATGCACATTCATCAGTGGGAAGAATTGTTGGCATCTGTCTTTAGAAACAGATCTACCTCACTTCTTTTCCTCTACCTCTCCTTTCCTCCTTTCCTGTTTCTTTCTTCATTTCTTCCTTCCACTGAAATGTGCCAACTATCCTCTTATTATCAAACATCAATATATATTTATTTAAAGATTAGCCTTTTTTTCACTAAAACCTGTTTCCCCTTTCTTGATATTTTCCTAGTGGTGTTTTTACGTTGTGCATTTTGTTATTTATTTACTTTATCAATTCAGTTCAGTCGCTCAGTTGTGTCCAACTCTTTGTGACCCCATGGACTGCAGCATGTCAGGCCTCCCTGTCCATCACCAGCTCCTGGAGCTTGCTCAAACTCATGTCCATCGAATCGGTGATGCCATCCAACCATCTCATCCTCTGTCATCCCCTTCTCCTCCCGCCTTCAACCTTTCCCAGCATCAGGGTCTTTTCAAATGATCAGTTCTTCGCAGGGTCAGAAATCCCTCTTCATTATTTCATCAAATTGCTTAAGGGAAAGAAATAGGCCGATTGAAAATGACCCGGTCCTCTCAAGGGTCGTCTGTCACCCTGAAGGCTTCATTTTTCTCTCTTCTCCCCTGGTAACCAGGAGTGTGAGGAGGAGGCTGTCGGGGTCATTATGTGTGCGTCGGTCAAGTACAACATCCGGGGTCCCGCCCTCATCCCGAGAATGAAGACCAAGCACCGCATCTACTACATCACCCTCTTCTCCATCGTCCTGCTGGGTCTCATCGCCACGGGCATGTTTCAGTTCTGGCCGCACTCCATCGAGTCCTCGGGCGACTGGAACGTGGAGAAGCGCAGCGTCCGAGACGTGCCGGTGGTCAGGCTGCCGGCCGACAGCCCGGTGCCCGAGCGCGGCGACCTCAGCTGCAGGATGCACACGTGTTTCGACGTCTACCGCTGCGGCTTCAACCCCAAGAACAAGATCAAGGTGTACATCTACCCTCTGAAGAAGTACGTGGGCGAGGCGGGTGTCCCGGTGAGCAGCACCATCTCCCGGGAATACAACGAGCTGCTCACGGCCATCTCAGACAGCGACTACTATACCGACGACATCACCCGCGCCTGCCTGTTCGTCCCGTCCATCGACCTGCTCAACCAGAACTCGCTCCGCGTGAAGGAGACGGCGCAGGCGCTGGCCCAGCTCTCCAGGTATCCGCAGGTCTCCCAGAAACTAGGGGCAGGGGAGGGGCAGAGCCGGTTTCCAGCCGGCGGCTCGTCTCCTGTCTCCTAGGTGGGCACGTGGATGAGCCGCTGACTTGTAGGAGGACCCGCGCTGCGGGCACCCGTTCTCTGCACCATCCTCTTGGGCCACTGCTGTGGGTTCCCAGCTTCTTAACATTTAGAAGCTAAGAAGGGCTCATCTTCCCATGCCTTTCCTTTTAAATGTAAATGCCTTTCCCCACCTCCCCTCTTTATTACTCACATATACACATTCACTATAAAAAGCTTGAAAATACAGTTAAGCCAAAAGAAGAAAGTAAGAGTCATCCCCTAAGCCTGCTTTTGAGATAATCATTAATATTTTGATGCTGATTCTCAGTCGTTTCTTTGTAGAACATATACAGGGGCACACATGTATGCATTTTAGTATATTTATGCACATGTATACATATGTGTGTGTATAACATTTTGGTCAAGAGTAGGCTCACACAGCAAAGCGTATTCTTGTGCTGTCTTTCCCCCTTCATTTACCATGAATGTGTTTCCAAATAATTTCATCTTCGTATGTCATTGCAGTATGACATATACTCAGAACATGTATGTATTCGTATATACAGTTCTGTATGGGATTCCATTTTGCACACATTCCTTAATGTACTTAATTAGCCTTCTGTATTTCTTTGTGTTCCTGTAACCAAATGGTGAACATTGCAGTTGTGTTCAGATATCCATCAGCGTAAGCAGTTCTGCAGTGGACCAGCTTGGAGGACACATCCCCCAGCTTTCCTTTGGAGGAGCCAAGCCAGTACCCGGAGCAGTGTTGCAGTCTCCAGACATGCAGTTTGCCTTCCTGAGAAGGGCCCTGTTTTGGGTCAGGGATGCTTGCCACTTGTCATCCGGCTTCCTTTGTGGCTCAGATGGTGAAGAAGCTGCCTAATGCAGGAGGCCCGGGTTTGATCTCTGGGTCTGGAAGATTCCCTGGAGAAGAGAATAGCAATCCACTCCAGTATTCTTGCCTGGAGAATCCCCATGGACAGAGGAGCATGGTGGGCTGCAGTCCATAGGGTTGCACAGAGTCGGACACAACTGAACGACTAACACTTTCACTTGTCATCCAGAAACTGACTGACTTGTCTGTTTCTTCACAGTTGATGTGTGAATTCTACATGTTTACTCTCTTAATAGATGGGATAGAGGTACCAATCACCTCCTGTTCAACATGTTGCCTGGAGGCCCCCCAGATTATAACACGGCCCTGGATGTCCCCAGAGACAGGTAGGTATATTTGGGGTTGTCCGCCTGATGGGTTTCTGAGGATTAAGTCAACATAGGACCCTTTAATTCACGTGAAATCATATTTCTAAGCTCACTAGGATGTAACTTTGTAATCAGAATTATATGTTCAAGTGGAAGATTGTCCTCAGTATTTTCCTCCCTGAGACCTGGAAGCACCGAGACATGCCGGAATCTGTCATGGGAAACTAATGGAGGGTTAGGTTCCAGTGGAGCATCTTAGAAGTCTGTCTTGTCTTCTTAGTCTGGGTTGTGTGCTCCTGAGCATACCCCCATCCCCCTAAAAGGCCTGGTTCGTACCGGTGGCTTATGTCAGCTCTCTGCACATTTGGGAGCCTTAAATAGAGTCGCAGCTCCTGAGGGGAGTGGGTGGGGACGTGTCATTGGAGCCTGTAACGTCTGGGAAGTGAGGCACTCTAAGTATCGCTTACTCTCTTCTTTCCTTCCTTTCTAATGAAACTTCCAAGCAGGCAGAAGTGGCGTGGGGTGGCCATGATGGCGATTCAAGTCCAGGTACTGTGTATTTGGCCCTTTCGTACACCGACGGCGTCGCTTCCTGGAAGCCTCAGAAGGGGGGTGCCCCTTGAAGGTTCCTCACCTGATACTTGGTCCGAGGCTCCGAAGAGAGCAGGAAGTGTGGGCCCGACATGAGGGTCCTGGGCAGCACCCACGGGAGGGGGATTACTGTTAGTTCAGATATGAACTCATTTATAACTAGTTTTGTTGCAGTTGATGTTTAATTCTTGAAATCATTATTACTGAAAGAGGTGAGAACAGCCTCAGGCCCGCTGTGGTCTCCACTTATTTGAGGTCAACATCGTCATTTATGAAAATCCACACTTAGTACCGCTTTTCCCCAGAAGATTAAATCTAAGCCCTCTTTGCTTTTATGTGCTTATCTAGAGTCAGTATTGAGTTTCTATCTGGAAAGACGATTATCAACCGCGCCCCAGCGCCATCCCTCAGCTTTGGTGTAGAAACCATTTTCGACGATAGAGGGCAGTCAGGCCACACAAGTTCTGTAGAAACCCGCTGAACACAAGGCGATTTCTGATTTGGCTCTTAGCCCCAGCGTTCCTGAGTGCATTACTGTCTTATGCATTTGCTTGTTCTGGGAAAGTGAAATGTGTTAGAGGACAGAAAAGGAAGGCAAAGAGGTGCTGGGAATGCAATGTCTTCACCTGCTGTTCTGGGTTTAGTTTGAGAAGGTTTATTTCTGTTTGGGACATTTCGGTTTTTGCTGACACTTTGGTATATGTATCTGATTGGGAGAAAGATTTCACTTTTATCGAGTGCACATGTTAAAAGGAGTTTCATTTCTCTGCAGGAAAGTGTCAAGTAATCAGGAGAGAATTGAAGTTCTTGCTGGTGCTTAGGTGTTAAGGATCAGGAAGGTTAAATCGTTTTCCCTGTGCTTGTATTTTTGGAAGTGATTATAGGCAGTCCTGTAGCAAATAATGAATCATCCTATAGTCCTCCTTTATCTTTCCAGGTGGGAAATTTTACCTCCCAGCCGAGGTGGTCTTTGACTGGTTGGAGTAAGGAATAGTAGATTTGTTTGTTAATTTTTCTGATCCTTTGTCCTTGCTCCTGGGTTCAGAGGAGGCAAGAACCATGCGTGTAGGATGGTTTTAGCAGAAGCTGCATATCTGGTTATTCAGAAATTAGAAAACAGGCTAGATTTAGGCTGTTTCTAAGATTCCCCTGAAATCTAAAGTCAGAGGTGTGATTTTTTTAAGAATTATTTGACTCAGGAAAACGCAAGGACCAGGGCTAAAGCAGATGTCAGCTCAGCAGATACATCTTTTATGTGTGAATCTGTGTTTCTCTTTCAATATTTGAAAATCCTATGTATGGTACACATATACCTTCTGGGTACAAGATTGAAACAATGTGAAACAAAGAGTAAAGTGTAAAAATATGTTTTCAAATTTTCCTCTGGTTTTACTCTTTTACTGAGAGGTAATCATTGTTCTAAAATACTGTGTATTTTTTGAGTCTTTGTTTGATGGATTTCTAGTCACATACACACACACATGTTCACCTACCCATTTTAAGTCAAATGACAGCAAATTATACATCTTCAATGCCTAACTTTACTGATCTTTGTTTTCTCAGATATATTCTATAATTTTATTACTACTTTAGATTTTGGTTGTCCTTTCTTTACAAGTATCTCTCTAAAATTTCTACTTTTATATAGGTGAATATTTATTTAAACTTCTTACAGAAACATTTAAACCCATATAAAAGAAGTGCAGTGAGCCCCATGTAACCACTGTCGAGCTTTGTTAATTGTCAGCTTGATTCATCATTACTCCTACTTTCTCCCCACCGGATTATCTAGAAACAAATCTCAGATGTTGTATCATTATGCCCATAAATATTTCCATTTGAGACTGCAGAAGAGGTTTTTGTGTATAACTCAGTGACTAAGTCAAGAATCCACTTGCAATGAAGGAGACCCCTGGTTCGATCCCTGGGTCAGGAAGATCCCCTGGAGAAGGGAACGGCAACCCACTCCAGTATTCTTGCCTGGGAAATCCCATGGACAAAGGAGCTTGGTGGGCTGTAGTCCACGGGGTCACAAGGATTTGGACACGACTGAGTGACACTTTCAGATTTTTTCAAGGGCTTTTTAAAAAGTATAACTACAGCACTCATATCACACCTACAACAATTAACACTTAGTTCTTTAACATCACTAGATATTCACAAAATATCTAGCCATTGCTCAGATAGATACATCTCATTTTCTCTTTTTATAGTTTGACTCTGTAAACAAATGAAAATAGCCAGTAAAATTGGTCAGTTTTTTTTTTTTCCCCAAACCTAACACTTGAATCTTTATATTTGAGGGATTCTCAGGCCTGATTCGGAGAAGGCAATGGCACCCCACTCCTGTACTCTTGTCTGAAAAATCGCATGGACGGAGGGGCCTGGTGGGCTGCAGTCCATGGGTTCACTAAGAGTCGGACACAACTGAGCGACTTCACTTTCACTTTTCACTTTCCTGCATTGGAGGAGATGGCAACCCACTCCAGTGTGCTTGTCTAGAGAATCCCAGGGACGGGGGAGCCTGGTGGGCTGCCATCTACGGGGTCACACAGAGTCAGACACGACTGAAGTGACTTAGCAGCAGCAGCAGCAGCAGCAGCAGGCCTGATTAAAAGGAAGCAAAAGATACACTAGGCTCTGTGGCTACTCAGATGGGAGGAGGCGAGCTGTGAGAGCATCTGGGGCAGACCCAGTGTAGGGACGAGAGTCCACAAGACGGTGGGGAAGAAGGCTCACTGAGGTCCCTGAGTCTGCAAGTCCCAGGAAGTGCCGAAGGTGCTGGCGGACACTCCCAGCGATAGAGCACCTGGCCTGGTGTGAGTCGTGGTCCTCAGGGTCATGCTTTCTTAGGTGTGTGGTTCCCATTCAGTCTCTCTCTCAGCTTTGGAATGGATCCCCAATTTGGGGGTACATAATGGAGAAACAGAATGCGATTCTCAGCAATTCACTTTTCAGTCAATGTAAAACACATGTGCTGTAGAACAAGAGAGGCTTACAATATTTTCTCCTTGGGTGATGTTCAGGAACGCTTGGCAGAAGAAGATACGGGGATGTGGAGTGGAGGTCTTGTCAGCAGCAGGGTGAGTGTGAGGCTTGTTTGACTAATTGCAGCGATGGCTCCTCCTGAGGTCTCCAGCGAGATTGCACCTGCGTGATCTGTGACATGAGACACGCTTCCGGCCGCCTGCTTTCCTCCTGCAGTGCTAAGCCCCTCCCGCAGGCCCGGGGCCCCCGGGACTGCAACAGTGCAAGCTGGTGTCGTGTACACCTGCTTCCTTTCTTACCACATACGCTCGCTCCTTCCTCTGGGGCGTGGGTGTGATTACATCACCCACCAGCCCGCTTACCTGGGCCGCCTGGTGCCGGTTTATTGGATCCATGTTTACTTCCCTGCATGTCGATCGTGGGGGCCCCTGCAGTCTGCTTGCCATCATGGTCATGGAACCCACCCAAATTCATGTTGGACGGAGTCACTGCCGAATGCTAATCAGGAAAAATGAGACCGTATGTTGTTACTACGGCTAGTCATTAAGTTTTACAGAGCGGACTGGCAGCTGGAGAGGTGTTCCAGCCTTCACATTACCTCCCTAACCAGTTCTTGGTTTCATAAAGCTTAAACAAACAGATTGGGATTTCCAGGGGTGGTTTGGAAATCTTTGAACTTAAACTGGTCATGTAAGAAGGGAATGTAGGCTGTCATCAGGGCAGGGAGGGGATTGGTAGCAATCAAGATTGCAAAACATGTGGCTTTGCAGCTCATACATTTTGGCTCAGACTGCGCCATGCATGGACCTGGCAGCACTCTGCCCCAGTAAGTGATTTGATGGGCTCAGGGGTCCCCCTGGGACAGAATAACCGTAAACGTTGGTGTGATGTACACCTGCTTCCTTTCTAATGAAGTGTCACTGTACTACTTGCTGCATCCAGTTAGAGCAGCGTGTTCATGGTTTTCTAATTAAGGGGAATAAAAGCTCGTGTGGGAGGACTTGCAGGAGAAGTATTCGAGGTCAAGTTCTGGATTCTGCTTCCCATGGCAGGAGTGGGGTTGATAAGACTGAGTAGCTGGGACAGGTGGTGAGAGCTGGCAGAGGCTTTACAGTGCACACGAAGCTTTGGGATGGCAGTGGAAAGAACTGCTCTGGTGGGAACTGGAGCGGGCTGGGGCGTAGGCAGTTGAGATGGGGTACTTTACCGTCACTGTGGCTTTTTTTTGCCCATTGTCCCCTGAGCTTCCGGTCAGCGGGACACCAAGTGGCTGCCCCAGCCAGTCATCCTGTGCAGTCTTGTTGCTATTCCTGTTACTGTAAATGTGTTTAAGAGTCAGGGCCTCCTTGGTGGCTCAGATGGTAAAGATTCTACCTGCAATGCGGGAGGCCCTGGTTTGATCACTGGGTCAGGAAGATCCCCTGGAGAAGGGAATGGCAACCCACTCCAGCATTCTTGCCTGGACAACTCCATGGACAGAGGAGCCTTGAGGGCTACAGTTCATGAGGTTGCAAAGAGTTGGACATGATGGAGCGGCTGACACTGTCGCTTTCACCATCTGTGACTTTCGGGAGAGGTGAATGGGATCCAAGTAAGGTAGCAGAGGGGCCGATTGTAGGCTGTCCTCCTGGCTGTGCTGTATTTTAAAATAAGGAAAGTAAGGACAGACTGCTTAGGACCCCAGAGGAAGGCAGGTGACTCAGGAATAGGATGCAGTTAGTGTCCTGCTGCTGCTGCTGCCAAGTCGCTTCAGTCGTGTCCGACTCTGTGCAACCCCATAGACGGCAGCCCGCCAGGCTCCCCCATCTCTGGGATTCTCCAGGCAAGAACACTGGAGTGGGTTGCCATCTCCTTCTCCAATGCATGAAAGTGAAAAGTGAAAGTGAAGTTGCTCAGTCGTGTCTGACTCTTAGCAACCCGATGGACTGCAGCCCACCAGGCTCCTCTGTCCATGGGATTTTCCAGGCAAGAGTACTGGAGTGGGGTGCCATTGCCTTCTCCGAGCTAGTGTCCAGGAGATGCTATTGTACTTGGTAAACATCAGCTGTGGTCGATACTGTTATGAATATCCAGCTACCTGTTTCCACAGAGCTTATCAGAACAAAGACTGTCTCTTTCTCATCGTTTGACAAAACCCTTTGCTTTTCAGGGCTCTGTTGGCTGGTGGTGGCTTTTCTACGTGGACTTACCGGCAAGGCTACGATGTCAGCATTCCTGTCTATAGTCCGCTGTCAGCTGAGGTGGACCTTCCGGAGAAAGGGCCCGGGTAAGGCGCCTTGGGCACAGCCAGCTGTGCTGAGAGATGCCAGTGAGGGCCAGCAAGGCGGGTCGCACTGCAGTCGAACCATCAGTTATAGGCCGGGGCCCTTGAGGGTCCGTTTTTCCTGTCCCACCCCAACCTTATTTATCCTTCAGTTCTCTCTCTCTCTCAGTCAGTTTTCAGCGCTGTCTACCAAGCTCCCCAAATCAGAAATCTAGTTGCCGTCCATAAGTCTTTCCTCTACCTTACTTCCTGTGTGGAATTCCAGGCTTCCAGAAGGAAAGCAGGCGTTCAGCATAAATCCTGTTGTTCAGACAGTTTTCCCCCGAAATCGTAGTTCCCACGCCCCAGCCAAGGGCCAGCCTTTCAAAGAAGAGAGCCGCCAGGCCTACTGTGTTAAGTCCATTCTGCATCAGGCACTGTGGGCAGCTGACAGGCGGAGGTTGGTGATGCCCTAAGCCTCTGCCATGCGCAGAGCAGCCCCTCACCATAAAGCATCATTGGGTCCAAAGGTCAGCACTGTTGTGGCCGGAGAAAGCCTGGGGGAGACAGGGTGAGCAGTCTTAAGATGGCTCAGACTAAACTCTATCATCTACTCTCCCAAGTGTAATCTAGGTCTCTAATGTTGGTTTAGGACTGGCACGTCCCTTCAGATTTAATCCAGGGAAGAAAACACGCTGAAAGGAAAAGATTGAGAGAGATTGAAATGAAGGAGAGCAAACCACAATGAACAGTACCTTCAGATAATAGTTTCCAAGAATTAAAAGTTTGCTCTGTTGGTAATTTCCTGGTAACTTGATCTCTCATTTTTTTTTTTGATCTCTAATTTTTATGTGTAACTAGACTGAAATGACGATCCTTAGATGGATTAAGGTTGCTGTTGATTTCTAGAGTCCTAAGACTCGAGAAACTAGAGTCGTAAGCAGTCTGTCTTCAAGAGCAGAAGGATGCTCAGGACCGCAGGGGGATGGTCCTCCCCCGCTGGACAGGCGGTGGATTTCTGTGGCCCGACGGGACCCACCCCCTCCATTTTCCCTCCAGGGTTTGCAGTTGGGCCCTGCAGTTGTGCTGTTTCTTTTACAAACAACACTCTTCTGCCTCAGGAGAGAAAAAAAGAAAAAGCAAAGGCAGGCTCTAGACTCATTGCACTTTCCAGGGATCTGGGAGGAGACATTCTGGGTGACCTCACGGCAGCATTTGGAATCTGTTGCTCTTTGTGAGAGTTGCTTTTTAAGGGAATTCCCACATCTCTTGAGGGCTGCATAGAGTAGCAAGAGCTTTGTTTTTATTTTTATTTTAAATCTCTCTCAATATTGTCCAATGGGAAGCTGAGGATCGTTGCTATTGATAGCTTCTTCTCACAGCTGTGTTGGCCTCAGCTGGAATTCTCGTCATTTCTCTCTCTAAAAGGAACTAAATTGGGAGTTACAACGGTTACTATGGAGGGAAACTTGGAGTTCTCAGCATGATTTTGCTGAAGCTTCGATATCAGCCCTGCTGGGAGGAAACATGAAAGTCATAGCTGGTCATTTTAGTCCTCGAAAGAAAAACAAATCCACCTTAAGATTTTGTTTGCTTAAAACTAAAATGGGCCTACTCCACCAACCCACCATCTGCCAGGTCAGGGTGAGCCAGCATGCAGGCAGGGGAAACATATTTAGACTCTTGTTCACATCTGCACAGTTATGTAGAAAATGGTAGTGTTGGGTGGGGACCCACTGAGCGTGGTGACTGAGTGTCTAAAATAGAACTGTGTTTCTTAACAACAAAATCAGCCCAGAGTCTTTCTTTACTCTGGAGTTTCTTTGAGCTCCACATGTTAGCATCTGTACTTCTTTGTCTATGTAGATGGCTCTCTCTCTCTCTCTCTCTCTCTCTCTCTCTGTCTACGTCTATTGAAAACCATGCCTTCCTATCGCTCTCTCCTATTCCATCCGGGACTGCTGGGGATTCTGGTTCTTTCTCTTTCCATTGTTGGAATTTCCTTCTCAGACAGTGAGAAGTCTGGCTCCCATTATCCCCTGTATCTTACTTGATCAACCCTGTCGTATGTGACCGGAGCTCTGTGGTTGCATCTGCCCCTCGCCGCACAGGTGACCTCTGCACCCCGACTCAGGCTCTGACCCCCTACGTCATGCCCCTGCTTCCCGTCGTCACCCCGGAATAGACGCCCTCCTCACCCTTCCTGGGTTCTGAGCCCCCACACTGGAGGGGCGCTGCTCTCGCCGTCACCCGCCCCATACCCCGTCAGACTGGGCCGCCCTCCTGCCCTCCTGCCCTCACGTGGTCTCCGCATCCCAGGCGGGGAGGCCATGACTCCCTCTGCCCACTCCCCGGTCCCTCTTTCAGGGACCTCATAGTCTGGGCCAGGCCACCTCCCCGCTCTTCCCCCAGGTTCTCCTCCACCACCCCTGACTAGGACTAGAGCTCTTCCGGTGGGCCACTCCCACCTCACGGAAAAGCCCTGTCCCCTCCAGGATGCCAGCACTCCACACCCGCCTGCAGGGACACCCCCTCGGACACCAGCATGGCTGCTTCTGCTGGAGCAGCCTGGAGCACCAGTTTTGCGTTAGCAGCTCTGCTTAAATAGGACGTCTCCAGAGACACCCAGCAAGTCCCAGTGCTCTGTGGCAACCACTGTAGAGCCAGCGTCTTGGGGATTGGAAAGACATTTAGAGGCCGTTTAGCTCTAACTTTGGAGAAGGAAATGGCAACCCACTCCAGCATTCTTGCCTGGAAAATCCCACGGATGGAGAAGCCTGGAGGGCTACCGTCCATGGGGTTTGCAAAGAGTCTGACACGACTGAGCGACTAACACTAGCCCTAGTGTAACATCTACCTTGTTACTGTAATTTCTTCCGGAAAAGTTTTCTGATTTGTAATGAAAAAGACTCACCACCTCACAAGACAGTTCATTTTCGAATGGCGTTAATTGTTGAGGTGGCTTCCGTGCTTGTGTTGAGAGTTTGACTGTCCACCTTCCTCCTGTTTTAAGCAGTCGAGCTTGTGTTACAGGAATCCTCACTTTGAGATGACTGAAGAGTACTCCCTATAAGTGATCTTCCCATCCTGCCTCTCCCCTCTGCAAACTGATGATTTTACAAAAGAAAAATGACTGAGGCTCAGGGCTGGGGATAGAATTTGAGAGTCTGTTTCAGTGGCTAGAAGGAATCCTTTTGGCTATAAATAGCCAACGTATTGTTCAGCAAAATGCAACTGAAGGAGAAATTGTCTAGGATGAGAGACGGCTGATCCAAACTGTCTCCCCGACCGGCTGCTGTTTGGTGTCTTAACGTCTGCTCACCTCTGCCCTGGGCTCCGGGTCTGCACTGCTGTCCGGGGCAGCTCTCTCAAGTAGGACTTTCAGCAAGGAGATGATCTGTATTTAGTCAGGTGCCCACTTCCACATATAGCTGTTGAGCCCTTGAAATGGGGCTAAGGTGACCGAGGAACTGGATTTTAAAATTTTAATAGATTTAAGTGGTCTCACATGGCTAATTGCTATCGGACAGTGAAGTTCTAAGGGAATCTGCTTGTTCCTGTCTTTCCTGTCTGCCTTTGCTTTCAGTTCGGCTGTAGAGAGAAATGACCAGAAGAAATGGTTCTGGCGACTTGAGGGCCATCAGCTATGGTGTATGCTGCTCCATTTGCTGGAGTCTAGCTGATCTGCTGGCCGGGAGACCATGCATTTCCTCACTCACTGCTCTGTGTGTTTTGGGTGTGAAGCTTAAAGCTTGGGAAAGATGACACCTTCTCAGAGAGTGTTTATTTTTTGGCCACAGGTAGATGTGTAAGGTGTTCTCCAGATGGACCCTCCAACTAAGCCTGAGAAACGAAAGGAAAATAAAGCAATTTCCCTTTCTTCCTCTCCAAGGCAAGAAGAAAAGGGTTTAGCGGGTTGGGCTCAGACTAGAGGGTTTGAGTCCTTTCTTATGCACCGCTTCCTGTTAGCTTCCCTGGTGGCCGTGCCTAGAGATGGCTGTCTTGGATGTTTCCCTGGTCTGTACAGTTTGAGGAAGGTTTGAGTCCTGCTTCTAGGTTTGATGGGGGTTTCATTTCTTCTGGAACCTGCTTTATATTATTCCTTTCTTCTTCAATGATCCCTGCTGGTTCCTTTGCCTACGTCATGTTTATTGCCTCTGTAACCTCTCTGCCTTGTGGGAATCTTGCCTTCTTGGAGAGAATTACTTACCTTCTGGTCTCCCCAATGCATTCACATTTTGTTTCTCGTGAAGCTCTAAATGGTGCTCAGTTCAGTTCAGTCGCTCAGTCGTGTCCGACTCTTTGCGACCCCATGAATTGCAGCACGCCAGGCCTCGCTGTCCATCACAAACCCCCGGAGTCTACTCAAACTCATGCCCATCGAGTCGGTGATGCCATCCAGCCATCTCATCCTCTGTCGTCCCCTTCTCCTCCTGTCCCCAATCCCTCCCAGCATCAGGGTCTTTTCCAGTGAGTCAACTCCTCGCATGAGGTGGTCAAAGTATTGGAGTTTCAGCTTCAACATCAGTCCCTCCAATGAACACCCAGGACTTATCTCCTTCAGGATGGACTGGTTGGATCTCCTTGCAGTCCAAGGGACTCTCAAGAGTCTTCTCCAACACCACAGTTCAAAAGCATCAATTTTTCGGCGCTCAGCTTTCTTCACAGTCCAACTCTCACATCCATACATTACCATTGGAAAAACCATAGCCTTGACCAGACGGACCTTTGTTGGCAAAGTAATATCTCTGCTTTTTAATATGCTATCTAGGTTGGTCATAACTTTGCTTCCAAGCAGCAAGCGTCTTTTAATTTCATGGCTGCAGTTACCATGTGCAGTGATTTTGGAGCCCAAAAAAATAAAGTCTGACACTGTTTCCACTCTCTCCCCATCTGTTTCCCATGAGGGTGATGGGACCAGATGCCATGATCTTAGTTTTCTGAATGTTAAGCTTTAAGCCAACTTTTTCACTCTCCTCTTTCACTTTCAAGAGGCTTTTTAGTTCCTCTTCACTTTCTGCCATAAGGGTGGTGTCATCTGCATATCTGAGGTTATTGATATTCCTCCCGGCAGTCTTGATTCCAGCTTGTGCTTCTTCCAGCCCAGCGTTTCTCATGATGTACTCTGCATGTAAGTTAAATAAGCAGGGTGACAATATACAGCCTTGAAGTACCTAGACCCTTGGAAATCCTTTCTTCAGTCCATTTTCTCTTATGCATCCTTGCTATGTGATATTAAGACTGGTTCCATCCATTGACGAAGTTAGTTTTTTCTACTTGTTCCCCATGACCAAATTTGGTCTTCCTGAATCCATATGGCCTTGAGGATGGGGGCTGTCTTTCCTTGGAGCTCCCCCATAGCATAGGGTGCCACTCAGAAGCTGGAAGTAGTTTGCTTTCATGGTCAGTGCTGTCTGTTAAGACCCCTTGTTTTCCTCTTTGAAGGATGCAGCCTGCTCTCAGTCACTTTTCAGAGCAGAGAACTCAGATCGAACTAATGCTAACATTGGATGTTCTTCCAGATAATCAACCAGTCAGTCAGTTTCTCTCTTTACACACACACACACACACACACACACACACACACCCCACACACACACACTCTTAAAGATTCCTAAACTCAGCCTATTATAAGCATTTCCTCAAAACATTAAGAACTTTTCCTAAATGAACTCTTTTAACAATGGCGTGATGCTTCAGCATGTGAATGAGTCATCGCTTGCCTTCTTAGCATGTATAATAGTTTAAATATTCAGCAGTGCTACCGAGTGTAGTTTCCCCAAAAGTCAAGGACGTGAGCAAAGATGGGTGAGAAAGCATTTGTCACCCTAAACTCTAGACCCGAAGTTGGCCTCGCCATGACTCACTGCAGCGGCTGCCAAGGTCCCAGTGCCCCGTTTTCTGCTTCGCAGGCCGCGGCGGTACTTCCTCCTGTCGTCCCAGGTGGCCCTGCACCCGGAGTCCAGAGAGGAGCTGGCCGCCCTCCAGGCCAGACACGGCGAGGCGGTGCTGGTGCTGGACAAGTGCAGCAACCTCTCCGAGGGCGTCCCCGCCGCCCGGAAGCGCTGCCACCAGCAGCAGGCCTTCGACTACCCGCAGGTGCTGCAGGTGAGTGCTCCGCCGCCTCTCTCAGGGCCCGGGCTGGGCTGCGACTGACCCCAGCCAACGGGCGTTCCCGCTCCGAGCCGCGCTCCCCTCTGAGGGGAGAGCAAGACCAGACTGCTGTCCACTGCTGCCCCACGGACTTCCGGGAGCTTCGGGGTCCGCGTGCTGTTAGTGCAGAGCTGCTTGGCCCGTGAGCGTTCCTGCTCCTTCCATGGACCCATCTTACCGCAAAAAGGCACACCCCGTAGATGTACAGAGGAGCCTTGCAGTCAAAGCAGGCACCTGGTTTTTGCTCTTGTTCCTATATTCCTTATCCAGCCCAGAGGAACCTGCTTCTTTAAGCCTGCAGCTTGTATCCTCCGATGAGCCAGCCCCCATGGCCACAGTGAGTTCTTCCTGGGAGTGGGAGGTCTTTATTTTTTGTTACCGTTTTGTCTCTTGGTGTTTTTGCCACCCTGCATGTGTCCTACTGGTGTCATGGGGGTGGCAACACTTTAGAACTGCAGGCAGAGCAGTCCTGTATTATGCTCCTGTATTATAAGCAGGCTGTTTGATGCTCCAAGAGCCAGGGGGCCAGGAAGGCAGAAATTGAGTTTTGTTCACTCTGGTATTGTCCAGTCGCTCAGTCATATCTGACTCTCTGTGACCCCGTGGGCTGCAGCACGCCAGGCTTCCCTGTCCTTCATCATCTCCCAGAGTTTACTCAAACTCATTGCCATCCAACCATCTCATTCTCTGTCATCCCTTTCTCCTCCGACCTTCAATCTTTCCCAACATCAGGGTCTTTTCCAATGAGTCAGTTCTTCACATCAAGTGGCCAAAGTATTGGAGCTTCATCATCAGCCTTTCCAATGAATATTTAGGCCTGGTTTCCTTTAGGATTGACTGGTTTGATCTCTTTGCAGTCCAAGGGACTCTCTAGAGCACCAACAGTTCAAAAGCATCAGGTGTTCGGCACTCAGCCTTCCTTATATTTGAAATATTTTGTTCACTTAAGTATTTAAAATACAAATAGTTCAATTCAAGGAGGGATCTTAAGGAGCTGGTGTGATTGTGTGTGATTTTTATTTTTTCAAAGTCTCCAAAGAGAACTGGCCTGTGCAGGGATTGTTAAAATACCTTCAAAAAGTGCTGCATCTCCTCTGGAATGTCTGACTGATAACAGTGGTTGATGTGAGCAGGAGTATTTATAGTAACCTTTGTCTAGACAGGAAAAATGGTTATCAGCACACATGTCCACATCTGGACGCCGACTCTTTGGGGCCGGCTGAGCGTCCACCTGCCCCTCTGGGCGCCATGACCGATGCCCCTTCTCCACCCCTGCCCTTTCTCATCGCTTTCTCCTTTATCCCCAGAGGAATTTGGCATATTGAGTTACTTCATATTTCTTCTGAACTCGCCTTTTCTGTAGCTTTAAAGATTAAACAGTATTTTTGCCTTTTAATTTTTTTTTTCTCCCCAAGAGGCAAAAACTGGAAGAAACTTGAGTATTAGAGATGGAACTTTCCTTATTTTTTCGGTTGACCTATTACATCTCTCCTTTTCCCAAATGTGCCCCACACCCAGTAGATTTGAGGGAGTGAATGAGGAAGACCTTTAGTGAGGTCTTGCTTTTTGTTCAGTTGTATCTAAATAGAATGTATACGCCTTAATGTGTTTTCAAAGGCATAGCATTCATGAGATGAATGTCTTCTGTATGCGAAGCACACTGCTGGATGCTGTGAGGGGTAGAAAGATGAAAGGAGATTTGATGCTTTCTGTGCAGGGGGTCCTCTCAAGAGCCAGATATGCCCAGTCCAAATAATTCTAGTACAAGGCAGGCGGAAGTAAGTACTCTGACCACTGGGAAGTCACGGTATATGTACTTAGCACCCCAGGGCTGAAAGAATCCAGTCCTTGGGAAGTCACGTTGTTGAGTTTCCAGAGGAAGACCTGGAGTTGGGTTGTGAACATTTTCAGGATCCGAGCAGCGGAGGCATTGCAGTGACACTCAAGAGTGGAAATCCAGAGCATTGCAACCACTTCAGCTTTTCAGTCTGACCCGGGTGAGCTGTTATCTTTTAGCATTTTCGGTGTTGCTTGGCTTCAGCCCTTGAGAGAACTTCGTGGTCTGCTGGGATCAGAGTAAGTGGATCAGCGGAACTGGCTTGTAATCCCCTCCCTCTGCCTGTGTTCCTGCAGGAGGCTACTTTCTGCATGGTCCTTCGTGGAGCTCGGCTGGGCCAGGCGGTATTGAGTGATGTGTTACGGGCCGGCTGTGTCCCGGTGATCATCGCAGACTCCTACGTTCTGCCTTTCTCTGAAGTCCTTGACTGGAAGAGGTGGGTGTTACCTTCTGATGAACCTTTATCCTGCATGGATTATTTTTAAAGTCCCCCAGCAATTGTAATGCATAGCTAGGTCTGAGAACTACTCCTTCAGAATTTTTGGCTCCATTTCCATCATGAGAGTTAGTCCATGGACCTGCAGCAGCGATTGGTCACCCGAGGCCTTTGGACCACATGTGGCACGCTGCCAGTGTTTGTAAATAAAGTGTTATTGCATCACAACACACCCTTTCGTTGACACATGATCTTTGGCTGTTTTTGAGCTCCAGTGGCATAGTTGAGTCCTGCAGTTTAAGATGACAGAGATTATGTGGCCCTGCACATACTAGGGCCTCCGTAAATACATGCTGGATAAATGAATGGATTAGGGAATACAGCTGAAGGAGAAGTCATTGTTAACTTAGAGTGGACGGTGACGAGTGGAGAAGAGTGTACTGGGCAGGCAGAACTGGCCCACAAAGGCCCTGTGGTCGGACAGAGTGTGGTGTATTCAGGAGGCTGAGAGGGTACTGTGTGGCCGGAGCACAGTGGGGAGTGGACGGAGGATGCGAGAGGCGTGGAGTGGTGATGGGGAGGTGAGAGATGGAGCTGGGGCGAGCTCCTTTGAGCTGTTCGGCCCCGAGGAAGGGAGAGGAAGGAGGGGCTGCTCACTGCAAGGACTGTGGGGCTGAGGGAGGCGTGGGGCATTGTTGCTTCTGCTTGTGAGAGCTGAGCGCGACACATGCAACAGTGCTTTGTAGGTAGGCCTGTACGTACATCCGCCATCTCCCTCTTGTCTCTAGAGCATCTGTAGTTGTGCCAGAAGAAAAGATGTCAGATGTGTACAGTATTCTGCAGAGCATCCCCCGAAGACAGATTGAAGAAATGCAGAGACAGGTAAGGGGCCAGGCAGCCCTGCAGGGGAGGGTGCGTGGGGGAGGCGAAAGGTGGCCTTGATTGCTTGGATGCAGAGCAGTAGCCTTGCTGCTGAGCACAGGCACGGGATTGATGTCCTCCACTGTGTCAATCAGCCAGACCTAAAAGAGGAAAACAGTGTTAGGGAGTTACATCAGAAAAGGCTTGGAATAATAACTGTCAGAGATTCAGAAACGCTCCTGAAGTAAGCCTGCTGTGATGCTAGGGTCACACGTCAGCTATGCGTTCAGGATGCCGAGCTGCCCGTCTCTGGAAGGCCGTTTACACAGCAGGTGAGGGCTCGGGTGGCTGAGACGGACGTGGAAGCCGGTATGTTTCAGGGTGATGCTTCTCAGGAGCTTTGACCTTGAGTGTTGTGGTATCAGGAGCCTGGGTCCCCGCAGAGTACTGGGCAGAGTCCCTGTGCTGCACAGTAGGTCCTCATTAGTTGTCTGTCTGATATGTAGTAGTGTGTATATGGCTTCCCTGGTGGCTCAGAGGGTAAAGCGCCTGCCTACAATGCAGGAGACCCAGTTTCAGTCCCTGGGTTGGGAAGATCCTCTGGAGAAGGAAATGGCAACCCACTCCAGTACTCTTGCCTGGAAAATTTCATGGACGGAGGAGAGTGGTAGGCTGCAGTCCATGGGATTGCAAAGAGTCGGACACGACTGAGCGACTTCACTTTTTCACTTTAGTGTGTATGTATCAGCCCCAATCTCCCAATTTATTTCTCTCCCCCTTCCACCCTGGAAACGCTGAGTTTGTTTTCTATATCTGTGACTGTACTTCTATTTTGTAAACAGGTTCATTTGTTCATTTTATATTCCACATATAAGCAACATCATATGTTATCTGTCTTTCTCTGTCTGACTTCACTTAGCATGATAATCTCTAGGTCTGTCATGTTGCTGCCAATGACACTATTTCGTTTGTATGGCTAATACTCGATCGTATACGTGTACAGCGTCTTCTTTATCCATTCCTCTGTCCGTGGGCATTTAGGCTGCTTCCTTGTCTTGGCTGTTGTAAACAGTGCTGCCGTGAACATTGAGGGGGTGCCTGTGTCCTTGCAGATCATGGTTTTCTCTGGTTCTTTTTCTTCTTTTAATGGATTTTTACAAGTTTTTATTCTCATCAAAATTATCTGTGTAGGTGATGAGCCGGAGAAGAGGTCTGGAGGGCCCTCACCATGGAGGCTGTAGCCGTCTCCACACACCCCTGTGTCTAACTTTGTCACAGGAAGAGGCTCAGGTCTCTGTCTGGGTCAGGGCAGGGCTGTCACCCGGTGGTGTGGAAGTGGGGAGGGACTCTGGGCTTCTGACTGCTGCTTAAACCCATTGTCCATCTCTGTCCTCCTGCCCCGAGCTCCGCCTCTTCCCGAGTGTCTGCAGCAGAACGCAGGGGTTTCTCGGCTCCTCTCGGGCATGTTCTCTTGGGCCTGTCGCATCAGCCACCACTTGCTTTCCTGCCTCCACACTTTGGTAGTGTTACCTCCTCCCCCGTTCTCTTTATCTTGGATTATGCCTTCATTTTAGGGTTTTAGGAGGGAGTTAGTGGATGTGTTCTGTCCACCTCTTTCTTTTGGTACCCAGCTCCTTAGACCAAACGGATAGTACATCACTCGGTGATTGAGTCTGTAGGTTCTGACCCCCAGACTGCCTGTGTCGAATGCCAGCTTGGCCGGTTGCTGACTGTGTGCCCTTGGCCAAGGCTCTGCCTTCTTCGGACCCCCGTGACCTCATCTGTCAAGCACTTCGGCGTTCTGATTTGAAAACAAATCACAGGTTAAGTTTAACCTCCCCGTAGTCTTTTTCCTAGCACATCCATGTTCGTTTCAAGTCTCTGGGTTTCCCTGTTTGCTGCTTAACTACTGACCTCATCTGAGTTGTAGTGAATTAGAAAATCAGCCTAGAAATCTCTACAGTCTTGATCTGAACTTGTGGTTCTTACAATTCATGTAGAAAAAAAAAAATGCTACTTGACAGGACCTGGTGTAATGTTTTTTGTGTTTCATTTTATGGCATCTTGACTTGTTAATGTAAGTAAACAGGGAATCATCTGCTAAATCAGATGCCATCTTTTATAGATTTATAAAAGGCTGAGAAAACACCAGGAGGTAAAAAAGGAGCAAATTCTGCCCAGTTACCTTCTCCACCCCACTACCTTCCTATTGGGAAGAGAATCACTTAGTTTTTAGAGCAGAGCACCCGGGGCCAGCTCACAGAATGCCCTTTTCCGTGGTAACTTGGCTTAGGAACCGCGGGTCTGGGATGAGCCTTGCCAGTCTTTTCAAGTGACAGATTCAGAATCATAGAACATTGAAGTGGAATGACTAAAGGTTACTTAAAACAGTGTACTTTTAGGTTATTTGGGTTCCGAGAGACACATTTGGTGTCCTTAAATGACTCCGGTTTGAGCCCTGTGTTGGTCTCTATTAATTGTGTGACTGTGACACGTCTGTGACCAAAGCTCCTCGGACCTCCCCATTTATGTAATCCAGGGTGGGCTAGATCAGCTCTCATGTTGCATTCAGCTGTTAAAAAACACTGTGTAACTCCTGTCCTTGACAGTATTAATAATTGAGTGGTCATCTCTTTCCCATGACCACCTCCTGTCATGAGGGCCTGTTACTGTCTGTGGTGGTGAATACCCTGTATTATGTCCACTGGCAGAATAAAGGTGATCTCAGTACTTTCCTGGGCTTCCCTGGTGGCTTAGATGGCAAAGAATCTGCCTGGAATGCAGGGAGGCCTGGGTTCAATCCGTGAGTTGGAAAGATCTCCCAGAGAAGGGACTGGCAACCCACTCCAGTATTCTTGCCTGGAGAATTCCATGGACAGATGAGCCTGGTGGGCTACAGTCCATGGGGTTGCAAAGAGTCGGATACAACTGAGCTACTCACACTTTGACTTTCAGTCCTTTCCTGCCTCCCGTCCTAAATCTCCCTTCTGCTTGCTGATGCTCTTCTCTGTGCTACTTTCAGACCTTCTGAGATGCTTCGCTGCTGTGGCCCGGTTAGTCCTGCTCCCCTCTCTCTGAATAGTCTGTGTCCCCAGAATGACCTCTTTTCTTCTCCCAACCTCAGATTTCTAGACTGGACTGATCTCAGCCAGAGGTGAGATTATCCGGTTGAAGCAGTTCCCAGAGAGTTCGAACGGATGACTAGGTGCCACTCCCAGATGTCAGTGCTACACCTGTCTCCCAGACTGTGCCACCTTGGAATGTCTGCACATGTTGCCAGATGCCTCCCAAGGGGGCAAAAGTGCGGTGCTTGGGAGCCGCTTTCCCACTGATAACGTGGTCGTCTCTCTAAGATTAGAGACAGCTCTCTTGTTCTTTCCAGAATATGCTTGTCCTTTGCTTTCTGTATCCCCTCCATTGATTCAGTCAGACCCTGGCAGGAGTAACTGAAAAAACTAGCACACGCTTGGTTCTTGAAAGGTATTGCACCTCGGTGAATTCTCTTTAGGGAGGTGCGGTTTGAGTCTTTGTAAGACAGGGATCAACTTTTAGGGGAAGACCTGTTACGTCAGTAGTTGATGCCTTAGAACCCCGGGTTGCTTGTGCTAGAATGAGCTGAGGCTGAGGAGCAGAGGGTGGGATTTTCTTGCCGAGCAGCTCAGGACGGGCCGGGGGGCTGCGCGCACAGTTCTCGCCAGCAGAGGGCCCCATCCGCTTTGAAGTGGCTCGTCGTCCTTCTGAGCGGCCATTTTTAGGGAGTCCTGAGTGCCGTGAGCTACGCTGACACCGTTCCTCAGAGCCGCTCTCCAGAGAGACCCGCTCCTTCTGTGCTTTTTAGCACAGGATTCTGCTCTCCTGAGATGGAGCAGAGCCAGAGTACCTGAATTTGACACCCAAGATACGGGCGGGATCTTGGTGAGGACAGTAATGCAGCTTTGAGTTCAGGGGCTATAATCTGATCGATGGGTATGTGGTGACAGCCCTTAACATGACCCAGGAGTTTAGGACGCAGCAAGAGAGGAGGATATTCTGCCTGATAAGTGAGCATAGTTAACTTTTCCCCCTCACCTGAGATGCGATAGTGAAGCAGCCGTTAAAGTTATATGTAGGGCTCGAACCTGAAGTAAGAGCTAGACGTAAGCTAAGACTATTGAAGTACAATGTGCATCTGTGTTATCTACCCCTGAAGACCAGCAACCGGCTGTGTTGGCGTATATGGCATTGGAAGAGCTGGGGTGGCTTACAGAGCTTTCTGTGGTTTAGTTAGAAATCAGTTCCTTCCATTAATAGAGATTAATAGTTGCTTTTGTTGTTGTTCAGTTGGTAAGTCGTGTCCAACTCTTTGTGACCCCATAGACTGTAGCACGCCAGGCTTCCCTGTCCTTTACTGTCGCCCAGAGTCTGCTCAAACTCAGGTCCATTGAGTCAGTGATGCCATCCAACCACCTCATCCTCTGTCGCCCCCTTCTCCCCCTGCCCTCAATCTTTCCCAGCATCAGAGTCTTTTCTAACGAGTCTGTTCTTTGCATCAGGTGGCCAAAGTATTGGAGCTTCAGCTTCAGCATCAGTCCTTCCAATGAATATTCAGGGTTGATTTCCTTCAGGATGGACTGGTTTGATCTCCTTGCTATCCAAGGGACTCTCAAGAGTCTTCTCCAGCACCACAGTTCAAAAACATCAATTCTTTGGTGCTCAGCCTTCTTTATGGTCCAACTCTCATATCTGTACATGACTACTGGAAAAGCCATAGCTTTGACTATGTGGAACTTTGTCAGCAAAGTGATGTCTCTGCTTTTTAATAAGCTCTCTAGGTTTGTCATAGCTTTCTGTCCACGGAGTAAGCCTCTTTTAATTTCATGGCTGCAGTCACTGTCCACAGCAAGTCAGTAGAGGTTAATAGTTATAGAGGTATAAAGCCAACTTGTCAGCCTTTTATTGTTTTATGAGCTGTATTAGCTCATTAACTTAGTGGTGCCCTAATTATGTTTTTTTTTTCCTCCAAGGGGAAATGATAGGAGATA